TTGATAATTTTAGCATCATATCTAAAATATAACACAATGTTTGATTTTGTTGCTTAACAACATAAAAGTATAAAATTGATATATTTACTCAAACTTAATCTAGCAGCAGATTTTCTTTCAGAGATTCTCGGTTGTCATCATGGATTTATTTTGCACCATAACTCAAATGGAGTCCAATTTAAGATTTAGCCAATGTATGTAGCCCAAAGACTGGGATAAATTCAAAATCCAGCAAAGGAGGTCTAGAAAGTTAATTTTTTTTATTCATTCACAGGATAAGGGTAGTGTTGGCTAGGCAGCATTTATTGCCAATTCCTAATTGCCCAGAGGGCAGTTAAGAGTCAACCTCATTGCTGTGGGTCTAGAGTCACAGTAAGGCCAGACCAGGTAAGGATAGCAGTTTCCTTCCCCAAAGGACATTAGTGAAACAGATGGGTTTTTCCTGACAATCAACAATGGTTTCGTGGTCATCATTAGATTCTTAATTCTAGGTATTTTATTCAATTCAAATTCCACCATCTGGCATGGCAGGATTTGAACCTGGGTCCCCAAAAAGTTATCTGGGTCTCTGGATTAATAGTCCAGCGACAATACCACTTGGCCATTGCCTTCACTAATAAAGAGAGAGGGAAAGTAAACTATGAATGCAAACTAGCAAGGAACATAAAAGCTTCTTTAAATATCCAAAAAAGAACAGAGGTCAAAGGGAACATAGGCCCCTTAGAAAATGAGGAGACAGTTATGGGGAACAAGGAAATGACAGGGGAGTTAAACAGATATTTTGCATCAGTCTTTACAGTAGAAGATACTTAAAACATCCCATTATTAAGAACGACTTGCATCCTAAGATCCTAAAAGAAGCAGGTATAGAGATAGTAGATGCATCGATTGTAATTTTCCAAAAGTCGTTAGACTCTGCAGAACTACCAGAGGATTGGAAAACTGCTAATTCAAAAAGGGAGTGAGGCAAAAAGGTAGCCAATTAGCCTAATATCTATTTTTTGAAAAGTATTATTAAGGAAGTAATTGCAGAACATTTGGAAAATCATAATCTAATCAAGCAGAGTCAGCATGGCTTCATGAAAGGGAAATTGTGTCTGACTAATTAATGAGAGCTTTTTGAGCAAGAGTCAACCGGAGTAGATAGAGAGCAACCAGTATATGTGTTGCTTCTGGACTTCTTGAAGGCACTGAATAAGGTACCTCATGATAGGTTAAGTCATAAGAGCCCACCGTGTTGGAGGTAATATATTGGTGAGGGTAGAGAATTGGTAAATGGGCAGGAAACAGTGGGAATAAGGGATGCTTTATCAGGTTGGTGACCTGTGACCAGTGAGATTCCACAGGGATCAGTGCTGTGTTCAGTACTGCCTGTTCCAGAGGTATGTCATAATGTGTCTGAACTGGATGAATAAAAGTATCTGCAAATGCATTTCCCCAAAGCAGAAAACCTTTTCGTTTTCACATCAACACTAAGAGTACGGATTACGTGCTAGAAACCTTGAATAGGAAACTAAAATATAGGTTTTAGTTTATAATTTGAAGTTGTTGAGGAAAAATAATACAAAAGTCAAGTCAGACAGTTAACAAGTAAAAGGCAAGGTATCAGTTTAATCTTTTTTCCCTTTTTGTTTCTGAGAGAACAGAGATCGAGTGAAGTAAATGGATTTTTTTTGTTGACAGTTTCTTTGTATGTTCATTCCTTGTGAAATAACACAGCTTAATGATTTGATCTCATATCATGCGTATTTCAAGATACTTTTAGAAAGCTGGGAGAAATAGACAAGGAGTCATACCTGGAAAACATCCCAGTTCTAGAAGAGGGTTGCTACTTTCTAACTTGTACTCTCATAATTAGTTTTCTGGTAGTATGGCAACGTTCCTGAGTTGCAAAATACTCGTGACACCTACAGGAATAACCAGTACAACTACAACCAACAGAATATCTAAGACAAACCCACTCTCAATGCAGTTGAAAGTTTCTTAAGCTGACTTCTGCTTTTCAAACTTTAGCTGCATAACTTGGAAACAATTTGGTTCATGATGGTCAGAGAAATCAATAAGGTGAGAGCCATTGAATGGATATAATGTATGCTATAGTGAGAGTTATGGTGCATAAGCCTTGTTGAGATGAGTGTGAGTGGCATAGATTAAGAAAGTGTGAGCTAGCACAGAGAAGCTGATGGTACTTACCCTTGCAGGACACAGATGACCATTAAACCTCTTTCTGCACTGCTGGGCAGTCCTTTTAACCTAGGATACAGCAGTGACTTTGGCCACTACCAGAGTACAAGCTGACAGTGTCTGGTGATGTCTCACAAACTTAACTGAGTTTTTTGAGGAAGTTACCAAAAGAGTTGATGTGTGCAGAGAAGTAGATGTTGTTTGTTTATTTGGATCTTAGTAAAGCCTTTGACAAAGTTCTGCATGGTAGACTAATTAGTAAAGTTAGGTCACATGGGATTCAGGATGAGCTTGCCAATTGGATACATAATTGGCTTAATGGCAGGAAACAAGAGTAATGGTGGAGGTTGCTTTTCGGCCTGTGACCAGTGGTGTTCCACAGAGATCACTTCTGGGTTGTCTTTTGTCTGTCATTTATATTAAGGATTTGGAAGGCAATATAGAAGGTATGGTTAATAAGTTTGGAAATGATAC